TATGCTACGTACTTGTACGACGAAGACAACACATGCGGGTGTGACGTCCTCTTAATGTATATTTCTACGAAACAAATCAGCAATAATTATAATATTTGCATATTTATCTATGTCCTATATATACCTGTTGGTCAAAGGAGAATGAAAAGAAGACCAAAATTACAATTAATTCATAATTTCTTCAATAACTATTAACAATAGAATTTAATATTATTGAATAAATTAAAAATATTATGGAAAAATCAAATGATAAATACAAAAATATTTAAAAGAAAGATTATAACCATACCTACTTGAAATTAAAGATAAGTTTTCAATGTTTCGGTTTATACAGTATAAAATATAATACAATCATTTTTTAATCAATGATTTCTGTTTCTGTATCCAACACCAAAACTTAAAAATCCAATTTAGTTGGAACTATAAGAAAGTAAAAAATGAATACTTTCAGAAATATTTTAACTAATTTGAAAAAAAAAGAGAAAATCATGGACATTTATATAACAAATCAGTTTATGGCTAAATTGATTTTACACTTAAAGTAATCAAGATAACCCATAAGTAGTAATTTTACTATAGACATTGATAATTTTAAAATATTTTTTTTTTAATTTGTTTTTAAAACACTGTCTATTCATACTACATACCTATGCACACTGTCCAACAGTTTGTCATTATTGATTCTTAAGTTAACATATTTTACCTAATATGATATAATAATATTTATTTATTTATACCTACATATTTTTTTAATATTAACGGGCGGGAGCTCATTTAAGATAATAGTACAGAAATATTGGTATATACAATTGGCAATAATATACATAATACATATATATATATGGAYACAGCCGATACAGGATAAAAATAAAAAGAATCAATTTTACCACATAAGATATTGTGTAGGAAGGTTAGGTCATGGGCATTGTGGCGATCGGCTAGGGATAGTAAGTTCAAGTTTTGGAGTACCGGGGCATAGTCTTGAGGCGGATAGACAATATTTAAATTGAAACCTGTGAAGCTGAGAAACTTGTACTGGACACGCTCAATATTGCTGTTAGTGTTGGCTGTCTACCATCAAGTGAGTTTCACACCACAGAACCATATTTACTTGCATATTTAATAATCAGTGTGACTAATGCACAGTATATTTTTTATTAAATTGAGTTTATATATTATGTTCCATTTGTAATGACGACATACAAAAACAAAGAAATATATCATTTAGAATTTATACATTCTTTTTTTGGAAAGTGAATTATTTTGTTTATAACATTAAATATGGAAAATCTCGTAGAAAATGACAGTCATTCAAAACACCTCTATTGCAGATAATGAAAAAGAACTCCTAATGGAAAAAAAATTGTAACCAGAGGTGTATTTCTGGTAAGGGGGGAAGGGAGGGGAAATATTTGAAGACGTCAAATTTTAAACATATCAATAGTATAATACTTTTAGTTTGTTTATTTTATGAAGTACCTATGATGAAAAAAATAAATATAAATGTTGCTAATAATTAAATTGTAGGTAATTGAATATTAATAATAATAATAACTATCGACCACACGTCACTCACAAACACATGGTAAATAATCACAATAAATAATCTCATGTGGTCATGTGAAAAAATAGTTGGTCTATAAAAATATCGATATCTTAGTCTGTGGCTGTCAGTTTATACTATGGCATAACAGCTTTTTATACTAGTTTATACAATTATTTCACTATTATGACCCCCACCCCCAAAGAAAAAAACTGTAAGTTGATGAGGTTACCCAAAGTATTTCCAGCAAGACATACATCATAATATTAAAATAAACATAAAGCATGATTCACATAGTCAAAAAAGTATATAAGTGCTTACACAAATGCATTTTCAATTTATGTGCCTATTCGTATAACACTCACCATTTTTTGGCAAACTCCTAATGACGTTTATAGCCGCCGCAAACTTTTGTTCCGTAGACATCGCTGCTACTCATGTGGACAGAAACAAAAAAATTGCATGTGGCGCAAGGGWATTGTTATTGAAAAGGCGTATCAAAGAATGAATATAGAAAACGAACACTGACGAATCCTCCACTAAGTGCGTCGAACAGTCTTATTTTCTTTTAATTTTATGATAATTATTATTACAATTTGACAACGCTAAATTTATGATAATCACTTTCAAATAAACGCACAGAATATTGTGTTTAGACAAAATAACGTTGGACGAGTGTATCGGTCGATCAAGGACACCATTCGAGTGTGTTGAATTAATTGAATATTACATTTCATGTTAATCGACAAAATCAAACGTTCCTTTACATTAAAAARATATTACGGAAACAAATGATAAGACGTAAATGCGCATTACCAATCGTGAATCGACTAAAATTATTAAAACTCTGAAAATGTGATAACGGCTCTCTATGAAGATGATTTTTGATTGCACAATAACTTCAGTTATTATCATTCATCGTTGTCGTCATCGTTTTCCGGGTTCGTAAGCGCCACATTATTTGTTTGATTTTAAAAAATTCTTCTACAATCAACACATAATTATATAAAAGTATTTAAACTGTAATATAATTGACATTTTAATAATAAATATCCGAGGTGCGTGGAGAACGGAAACCGAAATGTGAAAAYGGTGACATATCAATTTTTGCCTTATCTTCCGACCGTTATCACTGCTATTCTTTCGGCAGTAGTTATTTTCCACAGAATATAATATTATACAGTATGTCCCATAAGTCCCGTATCACTCTTAATATCTCCATGGGAAATCAATATATTATTTAAACGCGGTTTTTTTTTTTACAATACCAAGTATGGGAATTCTGATTGAATGGCATAAAATTCAATTTTTTTTTTTTTAATTTAAAAAATAAATTGTTAATGCATTTAAGAATTTAAAATTTGTAAGATAGCCATTTTGTTGAACATATTTTTTAAAACAATTCAAAAAAAATATATAAAAATTGACCAAGTTAGAACAAGTTATGTTTTTGAATAATTATAACAAAAATATTAATTGTTTCACATTTCAATAATAAAATATCTATTTCAGCATGACAATAATTTTACATACCTAATTAAAGTTTTGATTTGAATAGAAATAAAAATAGTCGTGTCTTATCGTTTGCTGAACAGCGAAACTGGTTACCTATTTTTAAGTATTTTAATTGCACCAGCACATAATTCAAATACTGTGAGACGTTGGCTGGACGAGCACTTCCCGGAAAGATGGATAAGAACAAGGGCACCTTGTCAAGGGGTCCAGATGGTCCAGTGCTTTGGCCACCTAGGTCTCCCGACTTGACACCAATGGATTTTTTCCTATGGGGTTATTTGAAAAATCTTGTGTATCCGCCGTGTTCATTGCATGATCTCCGTCACAAAATTGAACAAAATATTGTTCAATTGTAAAATGTTTTACCTRAGACATTAGAAAATGTTGAAAACGCGTGGGTCCTAAACTTGAACTCTGCAGTGTTACAAATAATAGAGCTCACTTTGAACAATTATAAAAAAAAAATGTAATACATAATTTTCGTTTTTATGTAATAAATGTTTTTTATTTTTATTTTTTTATTGTTAAAAATATTATCTGAATTTTAACTTTAATCTTTCCTAAAAGCTCCACTAATAGTACGATATTTACAGATTGACATAAAAAATCAGCGTTCCAATCGAGATTGATTAAATCGAGTAATTCTTGTTTTGATAGRTAACAACTATGTTATTATAATTATTCAAAAACATAACTTGCTCTAACTTTGTCAATTTTTATTCAATATATTATTTTTTTTTTCGAACTGTTTTAAAAAATATGTTTAAAAAATTGTCTTACAAATTTTAAATTTTTAAATGCATAAAAAAATTTTTTTGGAATTTTTGAATTTTATAAACTTGCCTTTGTATTTAATATACATGCCTCTGAAAATTAAATTTCCCCGCGTCACTCAGTGGCTTTAAGAAGAAAAAAGCCGGTAATTCGTGACTCGTGGATGTTGCTTTGCTGTACAATAGGTCCTTAGTGGGTTACTGTAATGGATGTAATTAAATTTGAATCCAAAGGTATTATATAAATTGTATACGAAACAAACGATTCTGATCGGAGACGGTTTATCTGTCTAGGATAGATTATTAAAAATTTTCAAATCTTAGATTTAAAAGGAAAAACTTTTATCAATTTCTATCTAAGATTATTTGAACATTGTCGTTATTTTTACGTATTTAGTCAAAATTTGAATTTTAAATGCATTTAAAAAAATTTGCCTAGGTATGTATTTTTAATATTTTTCAACTACTATTGCTGCAATGTGTTAGAAGCCTTGTATTAATTTTTTCAAGCTTTTCTACCCAACAAATAAATTTTTATTGACTTTAATAGAAAAAAAAACTAAAAAAAGGTGAAAAATTAGAATGTCAGTAAAAAGCTCAAAACAAATCTAAATGTTTTGAAAATTGTATCAAATATATAAAATGTGAAAATTTCAAGTATCTGCGATCATTTATTTTAGAGTTACACCAAAATAAGAAAATCGCTTAATGTGAAATCCAGAGAAAATCCAATGTTGTAAAAATTTAATTTTCAAATGCTCATAAAAATTTAATTTGAATTTCCGGTGGAAATTTTTTTTTGTGATAAAGATTGACAAACTTGTAAAGAATCTTGTATTAAATTTTCAAATCTTAGGTTTAAAAAGTAAAATTTTTATGAATTTCTAGCTTAAAATAATTTGTGAATTTTTGTAATTTTTACGTATTTTGTCAAAATTCAAACTTTGAATGCCTATAAAAAAAAATTGACCACGTATTTTCAATATATTTAGAGCCTTGTATTCAATGTTAATGCTTTTGTAGTCAACGAATAAAATGTTACTGTCATTTATAAAAAAAAACCTAAAAAGTACGGAAATTTCAAGTGCCTATAAATAACTTAAAACGATTAGAAATATTTTGAAAATTTTATCAAGTATAAAAAATTCCAGTATATGTATAAACATTCAGTGGAAATGTCATGTGTCTAAGGTAATTTGTTTTAGACTTATTTCTAAATTAAACTCTAAAACGACTAAAACCAATATCAAAAATAGAATTTGTGTAAAAATTTGCGTTTTTCCTTAATTTTTTTTTTGTTTTTCCCGGTGTTTTTGAAAACTAATGGGAATTCCAAAATTATAAAAAATAAATTACCTGTCCAATGCACTAACTAGATTCACTTTCCAACCGGAAATGCTACTGAAGTTGAAAATCAAAGCATTATTTCGACAACTTAAAAATGTAAATAAATATAAAATTACATTTTTACTTGGTATATTGTATATAAATATAACATTATTTTAAATTATTACGTGAGTAAATTTAGAGATAAGAAAACTTTAAGATCAAAGTTAGAAAACAACTTACTTGCGCTTGAGGTGTACAACTTTTTTAATTTCTACTGTTGAATAATATTGATGCGCAAATGATGAAAATCTTTTTGAACGGTTAATGCGCAAACGATTTATAGCCTAGAAATTGAACGATGCACTACTGTCTCACAAAAAAAGGTCAAAATTAACAATAGTGATGCGCAAACGACAACCGGCGAATCACTTTATTACGTCTCTGTTGTTGACGATTTTAGTATCGTGTTATGGTAAATTGGCAATTGTTTTTCAAATATTTTTTTGTCCCGCAACCATACTATTAAATTATTTTTTCTAGGTACCCAAAAAAGGCTCTATGAAATTTTATCTGTGCGTTCTATAAAAAAAGGTCATATACGCTCCTATAATCATCCAAACAGTATTCCCCATCTATATTGCTCTACTATAAAAAGACTGGTTAGAGCCCTCARAGGTTTCCACTATTTTCAGGTTTCATGTAACCATGTAGGTAACGCACAAGTAGGTATACAATGATAAGTAGCTTTAGATTACCTGCCCTTAATGTGCAGTAGATTTGTTCAAAGAACCTAAACATAAATTTATACAGAATAAACACAAAGGATAATACATATATTAATATTATAATATATAGTTTAAAAAAATACTAMATTTTTCAGTAATTATTAATATATTTTTCAATAACAATTTGATTACGACTACAAATAGTAAACATGCAACATAATAAGATATAGTGCGTGTTTTACAACGTACCAAAAATACAGGCTCAAATATTACTTGTCATCGTAAATTAAGTTACACATTTCATATATAAATATATAATATACCTATCATATACATACACACACGTATATATATATATATATATATATATATATACATATGTGTGTATTTGTGAGTGTATAATGCATACATATATTTAACAGGTGGTCCTAGATGTACCAGCTACATTGTTTGTCACTTGAAAATACCAAGAACATCTCGGGACACTCCGTAAAATATTGTAGAAATATATATATAATATATATTTATATACACGTGTATAATATAATATAATATGTCAACAAACAACAAATATTTATTARTTAATTTGTACAAATTAAAACAATAGTTATGTATCTAAAATAAAATATCGAGTCGAGTTACTATTTACGAATTTATGTATATTTTAATAATATAATATTGCAGTTGTTAATGTTTTAGGGCACACCACAATGAATTATTCTATATATATATAGGTGGTCTAATTGTGGCTATTATTTATTACCATCAACTTTTTTTTTTCGATTGGCTAAAACAATGTAACGGGCAAAGCCTATTATAATATTGTGACAGCTATTACTACTGTTGCAGTATGTAGATATATAATAATAATCATACGCCTGTTAATATATCAGCCAAGTTCCCAGAGCCCTTAAATCCTATTTAGTTTGAAAACGAAATACCATCAATTGCAATTTGGTCTTGAATTTAATTGAAGTGTGACGAACGGTAACTACGGTGCCGTGTTTTGGGAGTGGACGAAGTTTCCCGGGATGGCAATGTTTTGTGAGAGGAACAATTTTCGAAAGATGTTTGTTTAGTAATACTTTTTGATGTTCTTCAAAATAATTAGAAATCAGCAGAATCTCTAAAAAAAAAATATCTTCAAGTCCTATAACATTTATTATAAACATAGTGCGAATATATAGTAATATTTTATCATTGTCAACTATCCGTTAGTTAAAAATGTGGCTCTATGAATAATTATATTTGCACCAGTGTGACTTTTATTACCCGATTGTTATGCCATAAACATAGATAAATAGATAATAAAGAAAGGCACCATAAAATCTTCTCCCGGATAGCACAATAACACAGCACCAAATTATTAAAATATTACTATAGTAGTATAAGCTTATACGCGATACACCGATACACGTACCGAAAAAGACTGAAATCTTTAATGAAAAATAAAAGTGTGTTATCACAACAATATATATGATCTATTCATTCTAGTATAGTTAAAAAAAAAAATAGAGAGAGAAAGAGAAAAATTAAATACGTGAGCGAACGCAGTAAATACTTACATGACACATACATATTTTTAATACACAGTGTCACTATGCAACTATTTAATAATAATAATAATAATGATATACGTAATTTAATTTTAAAAATAATGAAATTAATCTGGATGAAATTCGAACGTACCTACATAGGTACTTAAAAGGTGTATAACTTTTACTACTGTAAAATATTATACATAATATTTATAGGCGATGGTTATGTTCACAAAAGAAAATTATCTGTCAGAGTTATATCAATATAGCATATACCGCCATTGTCATTATATAGTATAAAGGAAGTATAAAATACCCATGGTCAGTAATCGAAGTAGCTTAGAATAACAGGGGGATGTGCACAGTGCACATATACATGTTATTAATACCTATGACTTTATAAGTAATAGATGTATGTATTAAACATTATAATCGAATATGAAGAATGATGTTTTCTCTGATAATTATATGCTGTTAGGCTGTCTAAACTCAATATTTTGAAATGTTTTATCTTTTTATAGTTTGAAGTCTGAAAAAACAACGTTTTTGAAAAAAAAAAAAGATGTATTTTAAGGTTTTGATGACTTCAAAGACAGGGTGCCAGTTATTATTATTATAATTATTAGTGCCACCTATATCAACCATTACTTTACATATTACAACATGTATCACCTATGTATGCTGTATACCTATATTGTATAGTTTTCTCGTTCAACAGATAAATCAATTATATAGCCTATATAGGCCAATCCGTTTTTACACCTGATCGGAAACCGATTATGTTACGAACCACTGTAAATTAAAATATAATATTAAAATGTATTGTTATATTTTAAAATTTTATATAAAGTCTTAATGCTGTAGTGTACCTAGAATGTAAAAAGTACTATAGGCCATATTATTATATTATGTATGTATGAATGTTAGTAATAATATTATGGTCGTAATACATAGATACTCTAGGTGATGGGCATGTATTATTATTTAATAGGCCGGTTATTCTAAAAATGATTGTACGGTATTTAACTATAAATTGCCTATATTTCATAAGACATTATTAGATAACATATAATAATAATATGACGTTGTATAATTATTAATTAGGTATATCGTTTTAGCGAATAAMAATTTGAACATGAGTACAATAAAATAAAATAAAATTTTCATAATGATAAATTTATAGAGAATGAATTATTAAAGAATAATAATTAATTTATGAAAAAAAAATAATATGATTCGATAAAAATACTTAAATATGAAATTTTATTTTTAAGTTGAATCAATAACACGTCATCTTGTAATTTATAGTAGATAAATATAAATAATCAAATAAATAAATGTATTCAAACAAACGTAGTGTTGCGTGTTTGACACTATATAGTATGTTAATTGTCGTTACGTTATTAGGATCCATCATTGTACTTAATAAACAGGAATTTATATCATCATTAGGGTTTTTCAACCGGTTAACTCTCCAAAAATATCAGTGCTGTAGGTTTCGGTTCCAAATTCGATTTCTTTGCTTCAACTACAAGGAATTCGATTTCGGATTTATCAGTTTGTGCAAAAGATTCTGCGATGAGCCTGGCTACTTCTTGATGAGGCATTCCTGAAAAAAAAAAAAGTTGACAGTAGTGATTTTTATTGTTTATTAACATTTAATAACTTATCACACATGTTTCATTTTTGGAATATACCAAAATATAAAATATACCAACCTTCAACTTTTTGGCCATCGACTTCTAAGATCAATTGACCAACTTCAAGACCACCAGCTTCGTATGCAGCACCATTTTCCTAAAATTATAAGGTAAATGAAATAATAGAATATTGCAGTGTTGTAGTACTTGACACTTGTAATATATTATTTACTAAATGCAATCTTTAATACACTTGAAAATTGAATACATCTTCCTAGTTAAATTTAATGTTCTGATGACATACATATTTTGGCATCTATATCTTAGCCACCAGCCATGGAATAATAATTTGAAGCTAACTTATATTTACTTAAATATTTGATAAATTATCATATGAAATATATTTTATTTATGATGGTTGATATCATATATTTATCACAATATTCGAAAGTCTCGAAATTATTTATAGCATTTCATAACCAACCTATGCAATAATAGAAAATAATATAAATTATGAAATACAGTAGATAAAAAGATACTGAGAATTTATTAAAACAATTGTTATCGATAAATTTCACATTTTCAATAGTCCATTGATCGGGCGTCTAAAATAGTATGTTTTAAGAACAATAAGAGCACAAATTGTGAAGTACTAATAAATGTAGTTAAGTGCGCAGTTTGTATTTCCTATGAGTGTTATTAAAAATAACACTCAATATTGTAATGAATATTTCATAGAGTGTAAATACAGACATATTAATTATTATGAAGTAAAGTTCTATTGTTGAGCTAATCTTAGTTAGGTTAGGTATATTAGTTTAAGTTCTTTTTGAGTTACATAAATTATGAAAACTCGAATAAGGTGATAAATAAAATTATTTCACTTCTAAAAACGTGCTGAATTGAGTTGCATGATTAAACTGCAGTTACAAATTGCAATGGTACGTTGCTAGTTGCTATGCTACCCGTGTAATATAAGAAGTATTAAAATTAAAAATAATATGCATTATTTTGAAAATTTGAACCTTGATCCACTATACATTTTATATCTTGTAAAATAATATATTCATGCATTTTTTTGAAATTATAATTTAATAAAATAAAACATAATATTATGCTATATAAATATATTACATAAAAATGATTTAATTATTATCTAAATCATTAAGTTAGAGACAATATTTTAGGTAACAATACATATAGGTATCGTTGTAGGTATAACAGACAGCGGTCAACGGTTATCAAGAAGACACAAATTATGTCGGCAAAAAATCGGAACATATCAATTTGTAAATCTCAGATTTGTCAATCTGGAATGGTTGGATCAGACTTATCAAGTTTTTAGTAAACTGAGTTACCTAAAAAAGCACATTTTTCTCCTTACTCTTATAGACTTTTTAGGTTTGTACTCTGTTCATGTTAACTGCAGGTGTCGTAAAAAATGACTCAAAATAATAAGGATCGTAAATACCGTGATATTCGTAATTTTGGTGAGTTGGCACATTTGATATTGGACCACCAAGTCGGCAATAACAAAATTGAATAATGTATTAAAATATTTAAACAATTATTTTTATTTATGAGGCATAAAAAAAAATAATAATAATTTTTCAATAAATAATTTATAACCTTAGGCTTTTATAAAATATTATGTAAGAATATATGTTATATGCATAATACTAATACTCTTTTTTACGATGACGTGATAAAAATAGGTTGAGTTTTGGGTATAGGTATAGGCTATTGTGTGAGTTTCGGCCTTCTACCGTGGTAGAATAGTCGTATAAACAGTATGTATAATATAAGTCATATTATTTATAAAAACATTTATTTTATTACCAGTTTATTATTTTTTATATTAACCTGATCATAATCATAATAAATATACTCAGCCTCTACGCATAATTGCATAAGCATATTGTGAAAAATATTATTAGTTATTACTAGGGCTGGGATTTTTATGCAGAGGCATCTTTTTCTGGTGTTTTAAAACATTGTCACATTGGTCCGTAAGTATAAAATGTGTTTCGGGTGATATTGGTAATTTTAAAGTAATTTTAGATTCTGAACGGAGTGAGAAATTTATTGGTTTTACAATGATGTTTATTTCTTTTTCTTTTTTATTCTGTAAACACTTTTTCTCCCTCTAAAATTGCTCGAAAGTATCAAGTGTAGCATCTTTTCTGAATAGCAATGTTCTTGAACCTGTACTTTAAACAGGTCATTTTTTTCTATAAGCATTTAAATTTAAAATTTTGACTAAATACGTATACAAATTATAGAAATGTTTAAATTATCWTAGATAGATAGATTCATAAAAGTTTTTCTTTTTAAATCTAAGATTTGAAAATTTTAAATTATCTATAATATATCCTAATACAGATGGTTTATCTGCTCAGAATTGTTTTTCGTATACAATGATATAATATCATTATTGGATTCAAATTTAATTCCATCCATTATAATAGGTAACCCACGTTTTGTAACCTACTGTACAGCAGAGCGACATCCATGACTTGCCCACTTTTTAATAATTTGA